CATACACAGAAAAAAAGTAAGAGACCTAAGAACGAATTCATTTTTCTGATGTGTGGAAAGTGGTTTAAAGAAGGTCGCATCAATGGCTTTTCATATAGGCTACTGCTAATCGCACATACTATGTCCGCTAAGTCCTAATATATTCCTTTTCGTGCCTATACATGTATTCCTTGTTGTGATTTTTAAATTTCATGGTTATACGGCACTCGCAACTGCATATGGTCATATGAGTGCCACGGGGTGGATGTCAACAGAGAAGTCTTTACAGTTACAGGGAATCGGGCTTACTCTGCTCAACTCTCTAGCTTTAACAGCACAAAGTCTGTTTTGACTTTCAAGGCACCCCGGAAAGAGCGGGTCACAAGAGTGTGACAAACCATACAAAAGAAATAGAGGAAAAATGACAATAGTAAGGATTAGGAAAGAAAATGCAGCAGTTCCCTGTTGTAATTCAGGCACAGTTATGAGCATGACATTGATGAATCTGCCCATTTACAATTGTACAGTGCATAGAACGAGAAATGTCCCCCATTTGAGAATGGCCTAAAGACACTTCAGTCGGTAGTCGGTGGCACTGCCCCGGGGGGGGGGACCTTGTAGTGTGAGGACTTTCAAGCCCGAAAATGAAAACATACACAATATCAATATAATATAATACGACAATTTTATTTGCAATTTAAGAACAAAGAAACTGGTAATACTTACCAGGGAAACAGGAATGCAACAAGAATATTTTCGTTGGAAGTTTATCAATGAAGACAAGTACACAACAGATGCTGAGACAAAAACTAAAACTGGAAGGACAAAGACCTGGCACAGATGTTGTGGCCGTTGGCACTTTCAACTACAGTGCAGCCTCTCTATAACGACATCGTCCGGACTAGAAGAAAATGTTGTTATAGAGAGTTGTCGTTAGGGAGAGGCAACCAAAAATGATTAATGATATACAGCTGTACTATAAGGAAAAAATCGGGACCTGGGCACCACGTCGCTATGCAGAGGATGTCGTTATTATATCGAAGGCAGTTATAGAGAGGCTGCACTGTAGCACTCAAGCTCAAAAGTTGCTTTTGTCAACACATCACATATTATAAATATACACATACTACATACACAAACACACACACGCACACATATACATACATACACACACAAACACAGTAAAACCTACTTCTTACATCCACCTGTCTACGACAATCACCTGTATGAGCCACCACTTCCTACTCCCCCCTTGCATTATGATTATTCATATCTTATAATGACACTTCCAGAACATTCACCTGCCAACTAAGACAACCTTTTTGCTCTACAACAGGTAGTCGACTTAGAAAAGTTCAACGGTATATGTACATAGGGACCCATTTATATATTATAATAAAATATTATTTTATTTCTCTCTAGAGAGAGAGAGACAGACAGAGAAAGTGAGAGAGAGAAAAAAAGTGGGACTTTTTTAAGTGTAGATGTTTTCATGCCCCCATTGACACAAATTAGATCATTTAGGAGGCAGTGTTCCAACCCTGTTTGTCAGGGCCAATCTCAGCAGAAAGACTGGGAATCAAACTCACGTCTCTTGTTTTTAGTTTTTAGTTTTAGTAGAGGTTTTACGACGCCAGCAACTGCATAAGGTCATATGAGCGCCAAGAGGTGAATGTCAATAGAGAAGTCCTTACAGGGAAACAGGCTTACTCTGCTCACCTCTTTAGCTTCAACAGCACAAATTCTGCTTCGACTATCAAGGCACCCAAGAAATAGCGGGTCACAAGAATGTGACAAGCATACAAAAGAAGTAGAGGAAAAAATGACGATAGTAAGGATTAAGAAAGAAAGAGCAGAAGTTCCCTGTTGCAGTACAATTACAATTCTACTGTGCATAAGAACTCGAGATTTAATGTCCTCCCCCTTTGGGAATGGCCTAAAGACACTTCAGTCAGTAGCACCGCCCCGGGGGAAGGGGGTTAAAGGAAAGAAAAAAAAGTTGCCTTTTTTAATCCACTCCAAGGCTCACAAGAATATGTATTTTAACTCATTGATCAGAAACAAAAAAAATTTGACAGCAGCAGAAACAACAGCAAAAAACAAACAAACCATGAACCAGAAACAAATTTACATCAAAACTATTTACAATCACCACTGACTTTAAGAGTACATTGAGAAAAAATAAATATATTTGTTAAGTGCACATTGAAAAACGTATAATAATTATGCTTTTTTACTGATCCAACACCATGATTAATATTAACAAGCTCCACTATCTGGTGATAATTGTGCTATGCCACAACTGATAAAGTATCAAAAAAGGAATACAAACTTGGAAGTACTTATTTTGAACAATCCGATAGCCAGAATTTCATCCCTTTGGTGGTGCTTAGTGATGACAAAGATCATATTTATTATTATACATGTTACAGTAAAACCTCGGTATAATGTACTCGGCTCAAAACATACTGTTGACTGTAACGTTCACTTTTTGATATCTCAACACCTTTTAAGTACTTTTACTCCACTTTAAAAGCTATGTCTAAAACGTACCTGTCTAAAATAATGTACTTTTCGTTACAGCATTCATTTCTTAAAAGTTTTCGTAAGAATTTTACAGCACTTGCAACACAATAAGGTCATATAAATGCTGAAGATTGGAGGTGTTACAAGAGAGTAATAAACACCAAAAAAAAGAACAGATAAGAACAATATATGTTTGATAGGAAAGAAGGAGCAGACCACACCAACAAAGCATCCGCCAACCACCCACCACTAATTTTTTTCAACGCAATGCCAAGCCCAAAAATGGATGATAAACCAAAATCCCCAAAATGAAGTCAACATCAGTGAAATGAGAAGCCTAAGAAAAACATTGAACATCACAAGATAAGAAGAGAAAAAGAGACAGGGTGAGCAAAAAGATTGTGACAGAACAAGCTGGCTCAACTCCCTGCTTACAATTGATAAACAACGCATATATAAAATGGTTTGGGCATCTGTCAAGACTACCACCAAACAGTATATCAGTGACAGTGACAGCATACAACCAGCGATCAGAGGGAAACAAATGAAGAGGCGGGCCCAGGAAAAGATGGATAGAGGGAGTCAGAGAAACACTAGTCAAGAACAACATAGCCATGCAACAGGCAATACAACGAACAAGAGAAAGACATTGAATTTTGCTTCTCTGCAAAGTCATCATCATCGTGAACTTCACACCCATCACATTTATAAATTCCTCATGTGTGTGTATGTCTATATCACTTGGATTAAAAAACTTTAAAACATCAAAACAAAACAAAAATATTTTACACAAAAAAAAGCCAGCTTGAAAAGTTTACATTGAACCTTTTCCCATGATCAATTATCTATGGATGCCCCCCCCCCCCCTCATTTTGTGAAAGGGGGGAGGGGGGTAAATCCAATCACTGCCACTTTTTAGCTAATAATACATAGGCCTACCTAAGCTAAGATATTCAAATTCTTTGGTCTGAAGGGAGCACGTTATACCGAGGTTTTAATGCACTGCGGAGTAAACAATCTTTGGTATGGCACAAAAAACAGCATAACAGTTCGTCTTATAATTCATGCGATGACAGATATCCAATAATGCTGTCAGAATTTCTCTGATATTTATTTTGTTCTGAAGTTCACCAACAACTCAATGATATGTTACACCGACACGCAGCAATTCACTCTTGTTTTAGTAGAGGTTTTACGGCGCTCGCAACTGCATAAGGCCATATGAGCACCAAGCGGTGGATGTCAACAGAGAAGCCCTTACAGGGAATTCAACAGCACAAAGTCTGCTTCGACTATCAAGGCACCCCGGAAATAGAGGGTCACAACAGTGTGACAAACATACAAAAGAAGTAGAGGAAAAAATGACGATAGTAAGGATTAGGAAAGAAAAAGCAGCAGTTCCCTGTTGCAGGTCAGGCACAGTTATGAGCTTGACATTGATGAATCAGCCCATTTACAATTATAATTCTACTGTCCATAAGAACTCGAGATGTTAATGTCCCCCACTTTGGCAATGCCTTAAGACATTTCAGTCAGTGGCACCGCCCCGGGGGTGCAATTCACTCTGACATACTAACGGTCAAACAATAAGTGGGAAAGCAAGACACTATTTATTGAGTGAGATCAGTAGACAATTTTATAGAATGCTAGATGGGCCCGACGTTGTGTCCTTGGGAAAGGCACTTTACACGAATTTTCCTCACTTCACCCGGCTATAGACAGCGAAAGATCTTGTCAGTTTGAGTTTTAGGACACTAGCAACACAAATAAGTCATAAAAGTAGCAAAGATGAGAGGTGTTACTTCAATGTGACACAAAAAGAAGGAGAAATAAGGATAACGTTTGATAGGAAAGAAGGAACGAACCAAACTTGAGCACCCACCAACCACCCACTTCTAGACAGAGACTTAAAAGCTAAAAAAAAAACTAACCCCCAAAAAAACTCTTGAACACCTCAAACACAGGTAACTAGCATCCAAGAGTGAACTCCATTTAAAGGAATTATGGCCATCAGGCTAAAAGAATACATGAAAAAAAATTGAATTGTAAAAGTGACAAACTCTGAAGGGAACACGCATATCTTCTTCTACTTCTTCACAGTCCACAACTGGTGGAGACCAAAACCATTGACAAAAATACAATTAATACAGTTGAACCTGCTCTAACCACCATCTGTATAAGACAGTCACTTGTACAAACAGACACTTCCTATCTCCTCCCATGTGTATTTTCACATTATAATGACACTGTATATGATAGCAAACTGTTTCAGACAACCGCATTTCTCTTTGACAATGGGTGGCCGTCTCAGACAGTTGTGAATGTATTTTGATTTGTTCACCATAACAGTTCATTGAACATTTGGCAGCAAAGGTTGAAACACTCAAGGCACATCACAACAAGAGGGAGACAAAACTCTTCAATAATATCATAATACTTGTGTCTCGGAAAAGCCAAAACGAAAAAATTATATCATCAAAAACTTTTTTCTTCTACCTTAGATACTTTTTCTTTGGTCACGAAGTGTCAGTGGCATGAAAATAATATCACCAGAGCTCTGTGCGGTGAAACACAGCCAGATATAGCACAACTCCAAAAATGCCATACAAATGTGTACAAACAATGACAACAATTTTTTTTTTCTCCCAATTTCACACAAACATTTGATTCAAATCTCTCTCGTAACATGAGCAGGTTTAAACTACTGTAATCACTACCATGTAAAGCACAAACAGAGCACCTGCTCAAAGCCCTACAGTTTCTTGAAACCTTAGCATTCCGTGCGGAGAAGCACAGCCAAAAATAGCATAAGTTAACTCCATAAATATATAAATATACAAACAATGATAGGAGAGAACCAAAAGAGAATTTTTCCTAAATTCCCACGAAAAGCTGGTTCAATTCCCTTTTGCATCTTGCATTATGAACAGATCCAAACTACAATCATCTTTAACATGTAAGGCACAAACCTCCCACCATACTGTAAGCCCTACGGGTTCAAAGTACCCCAGCAGCATGAAGGATACGAACATAGAAAGTGAGAGTTGACTCTGGACCAGTTAAAGAAGAACAGATTTCTGGAAATTACAGAAATGCCAGAAGATGGTATGGTTTGGGCCAAGCACCCCCTTTCAATACTGAACGATTACATAAGACGCCGGACCTCCAAGAGTAACCTCTCTTCTCAATAGAACAAAGCCAAACTGCAGAGAGACTTGAAAACTTTCTGCACAACCAAAGTTCAAGGACACCCCCCCCCCCCCCCATTGGGGATTCAACTAAGTTATCACCACAAAAGTAATACAACTGATACTACTGAACCTGAGCTTATCCTCTGGAAAGACTTAATTATGAACAAAGGAGAAAAAGAAAGATCCCAATGGGACATGCGGACAAACACCATATAACGCAAAAAAAAGAATGAGATGGCTCAGACATATCCTACGACTTCCAAACTCAGTAATTTTCAATCTGGCTGCGCAATCAATGGGAAAAGAGGCTGAGGATAACCAAAGATGAACTTGAAACAGACAACAGCGAAAGGCCTGAAACTAGTAGCCAAGAAATGGAGTGATGTCCCCTCCTTTGTTGCAGACGGGTCATCTCTGATTGCCTTAAGCTTCTCAAAGCCTGGGAATCCCTAAGTCTAAGTAAGTTAGTAACCTGAGCTTTAAAAATTGTTTGTGGCCATGAGAAGTACAATACACAAAATACCCAAAGACAATTATCAAATACTGTCGAAATATTGAAGTTAATAACAATAACAGACTTCATGAATATACTTCAATGCCTTAAAAAGACAGACACCATTATCACTTTTCAAATGGTGACATCTTCAGATTCAGATTCACAGACAGCCTTAACAGATCTCATAAGAATCCATCGTGAAAAGAGAAAAGGAAAGACGGCATGTTCTAACAACATCAGAGATCTTTTATGGAAACTCACTCTACCTGCGCCAACAAGCCAGATTTAGAGTAATTTCCTTTACAATCAATCATTTTTTTAAAAAAAGTATAGAACCAGTTTGTTTATTTGCTTTTCATACAAAGCAGGTATCAGAACATACCTTAAAAACATAAAACAAGAAACAAGTCAGACCTAAGTAGATAATTATCAGAGGTCACTTGTCAAATCCCTCTCTTCATTCCTACAATAATCATAATTGTGATAACGTTTACCCACAATACACTACCTCTGAAGTCTTTTTTTCGTAATCAATATAATATCAAACATATTTTCTGCCAAGTAAAACGTAAGTACAGTAAACTGAACCTTTTTAACCAAAACGTCACTTACAAGGATTCTATTCCTCTAAACTTACAAGCACATGAATGCCAAAAATGCGCTGTGTAAAGAAATCAGGAAACACAACTGAGAGTTTCTTAACAATAAAAACTCTTTTGATTATGAGCGGTGGAAAACAAGAAGAGTGTCAACGTCCAAAGTAAATCACATTTATTTAATAAACACTACTACCATTACGCCATGTTAGATTAATTGTCTCTAGAAAAACAAGACACTATCCCACCGATAGCTCAACTGATAGGGCACCTCCACCTTCTGAGGACAAACCTCACAAATAAATTGATGGTGTTATACTTGCTCTCATTGTGTAGCTGGCAGAAAAAAGTCAACACTTCTTTTGCTCTAAAACAACTGTTTAAAACGATCCTGTGGATTCTCTGCAAAAATTGGGAATTAATCAGGTACAATTAATATAAGTAGAAGAGAATTACCATGGGCTAACTTTTGTGTCTGTTTACAACATTTACATAAAAAAATTTAGTTTGTTAGCTTTAGAGTTTTATAGCATGTGTAACACAATAAGGTCAATTAAGTGCAAAAGATTTGAAGTGATACCAGAGAGTAACATATGAAGAAGGAGGAGGAACGATAAAGATAATATATGTTTGAAGGAGGAAACCAAACCAGAGCACCCACCAACCACCCACGGTCAACGTGTTTTATGTTGTGCATTGAAAAAATGTCCAAAACACCAGTTACAAGGCTAGAGCATAACATTGTTGAAATGTGCGCACACTGATTGGACCCTTAAAGGGAATGAAAATCTTGTCGCAATAGCACTCTACTATGAAAAAAAATGTTTGAACTAAAACATACAAGAGACAATATATTAATATAATATTTTCCAAACTAACAAAAACATGTCTAAAGTCTTCTTTCAAGTCATCGCGTAAAGAGAGGAACAAATATAAAATGACTAAATCTGGAGTGTTATCTAACAGAAATATAATATAAGTTATTGACAGACTGAATGTAAATATTGTTGCCATCCAAGAAAACTGTTATGTACCAAAATCATTCAACTCTGGCATTATATGACAGTCTTCCTGAATGGTGAATGTATATTAAATTGTCATGTCGGAGAGATGCACATTAATACATAGAGGATCACAGTATGTAAGAAAACAGAAAAATTATTATTAATCAAATATACCAGAAAAGTTACAGAAAACCCATTTCCTCACTACAAGCTCAGTCCTGGTCCCACAAAAAAAGCACAGCATCAAAGTAAAATGTCACAGATGTAAAACCAGCTATAACATTTCATAATCTCTTTCCTTGGCACTGTTACAAAACAACATACACGCATGTTCCCAGCTCTGCATACCCCCACCCCTATCCCCGATTCCTCTTTGTACGCTCTCATCTGCATTTACGCTTTCATTTCTCCTTCTCTCACTTCCCCATCTCTGTCTGTCTGTCTGTCTCTCTCTCTCTCTCTCTCTCTGTCACTCTCTCTCTCAAGCAAGCAATCAAGTATAAAAGCAAGCAAGCAAGCATACATGAACACACACACACAAACATATACATGCACACAAACACATGTTATAATACAGTAGTAGTATACATTAATCAAAACCAATAATTTGAAACTACTTCATCACATCACATGTCCCTCCATGACCCCCATGACCTTTCACCCACAGGCTTCTGCCAGCCGCTATCTGTCTCTCTCCACACTGAACAAATCCACCTCATCACTCTCCGTGTCCTCCTGATTGGCCGAGCCATCTCGACGTAACATCTCCACTGTCTCCACGGAACCGTTCACTTTGTGATTTACTTCCTCCGACTCTTTTCCTGAGTAGCAATGAAAGAAAATGTATCATGTCAGAAGCAAGAATTCCTATATTCATTGTCTTGTCATAAAAACCTCAGTATAACCCTTCTAGTGTCAACGACTGATGAAATTTAGCCGAAAGTTTCATTCTGTGGTGACCACCAATAATTCGAGTTGCTATTTCCGTTCATTTATCCCATTTCATATATCACCAAACATTTCAACTCCTTCACAAAAGTAATGAGCTCTCCTTCCTATTTACATTCTACTTTCTGAAAACGTATAGGCTTATGGCCTTTACTTGCTTGAATTGCCTGTTGCCAAGCATTTTTCAACATAATATAGTGAAATCATGATTTCTACTGACACCACAGGCTATTTGGTCGCTTTTAAGCACAAGCGGGCTGTCCCGAAAAATGTTGTTTCGAGAAAATAGAAGGTAAAGTTTTTGGACCCTTGTTCAGTTTCCTTAAAAGACAAGGAGAGTTTTCTCTATAACCAAACAAATATACACACCAATGAAACCAAACTTCTCCTACAGGTAGGGCTATGCCCACTTTTGGTGTAGGTTAAGACTTCTGGAAACCCCCGAAATCTGGGTTAGCCCGTTTGTCCTTCAAAGCGACCATTTGATACCGGCATGTGGAGGGTGGAGCTGGGCAACAATTCATTTACTCATGTTCATATTAACTGGGTTGGTTTTATAGCTTGTAAGCACTTCATTCTGTAAATTTTGACAGTACAATACACATTGGGAAGGGAAATTCCTCTTGAATTTTCGTTACATAGGCAAATTAAACACAACACCAAACCAAATGCACACAATAAAACTTCAATTACACTTTATCCTTTACTTTGTACATCATCCAAGGAAATCCATCAACTCTTGACATATTCTTTCCTCTCTCCTGAGTGGAAGTGTAAATGATACCAATGATAGTACATAACAAGATGGGCCACTTCTCTCTTTGAGCCAATTAAAAAAGTGTCCTCAAAATTTGGTGGCGCCCTCTTCACAAAAGCGCACTCTTTGCGAACAGAGTTACCCTACTTGAGTTTTAAAAAATCAAAGTGAAACTAGCAAGTTTTGGGATAAATTTCGGAAGAACGCTTTTTTTTAATGGTTACGCTGACAAAAAACCTCTTCCGGAGGAAAGGGTGATGGTTTTCTTCGTTTAATTTGACTTTAGAATGAAAGGCGAGAGGTCATTAAAATTTTAAAAACCCTAAAACTCCGCACTGAACGTACCCGAACTGCTGATGAACAGCAGTCGATCTGCGCACGCAAGGAGGTGCTATTCCTATTCTTCTTCTGGAAAAACGAAAGAGAGCTTCAAAACAGACTGCAGCGCCATCTGAAGCAAAGAGCATACTTCCTGCGGACACTTTTTTGGCTGAGTGGCCCATCTTGTTATTTACTATCATTGATGATACATAAATGATAGCAGATAGTAGATATATCACAGGCAGCCCTCAGGATGCACAAACATGGCACCTCACCAAGACAGTGACAAGAAACAGTTGGCAAGAGACGGGTTATTGTGAACTTGTGGGAGTGGGAGCCATCTAGTACAGTCAATGAAAAGCAATAAAGATTTATATATGAATGGTATTGTGATAGCATACGCTAAACCAAAAAAGGGAAAAATGTAGAAAACAATGATACGCTGATTCATAACTGATATGTTGTTGAAGAAAAATTGGGCTCCAAGCACTACAATATCATTGGTTAAAGCACATTTTGAGACCAAATATTCTAAAGCAGCATAGACTTTATAAAAAGAATCTAAAGGGGAAAAAAGCAGAAGTTCAAGTACCGAAAAAATGTCACAAGATACATCTTCCTTTGTGCACAAAGCCCTTCATAAGTTCCTATAATTTTTTTCTTTTTAAAAACTTGTTATCCATACTGACCATAGACTGCTTTGGTTACAACGTGCAAGACAATTCCCAACAGGCAGATGACAACACCGACACCGTTCAAGAGACTCGTCTCATCATGGTTAATCAGGACAGCAAGGACAAAGGCACACAGCTCCTGTGGATTGTATTACCACACTAACATCTTAGTGCCATAAGAAAATTCCTTTTTGGGTTTTTTTACAAAAAGTTAATAATTAAAAATCTGACACCTTTGAGTCACTACAATATCCTGGAAACAAGAATCAATTACAAGGAAACCTTTAGAAATTATTCTTCCAAAAGTTTTCTGTCTGCAAAGACAATGTTCAAGATTGTTCACAAGGGTGTATCCATGATTCATTTGTCATTGTTCAAAAATCTAGAAGCTGTCAAAGCTGTTCAAAATTAAGAAACTGTTGAAACTTCAAATCTCGAAGCTATTGTAATTGTTCAAAATAAAGTAACAAAAAGCTTGTTTTAAATGCTACATATCAATAAACTGTGACACTGGTTCAAGATAACCTTATAGCATTGAAAGGCCAGTTAAACCCATATTGTAACATACCACACCGGTGACTCTTACCTTAAAAATGCCGGATATAGAGAGGGTGAGGCTAGAGGTGTGGCACACCAGCAGGAACTCGCTGAGCTCCAACATGAAGCTCAGCCCCGCCCCGATCATGATCATGCCCAGGGAGGACATCAGAGTGGACCAATCGTAGAAGCCGAAGTAGTGGCTACTGCTGGACACACTCACACCTAAGGGGCAGGGAAGGGGGAGGGGTGGAGGAGAGATGACAAGGTCAGTTGACTTTGTTTCCATTTTTACGACAATAAATCCCCAGCACCCATCAAGAGCACAATAGTTTTTAACACCCTCACACCACCCTACCAATAGGGGTACTAAATGTTTATATTCAACCAAAGGTCTGGCAGCAACCAAATATCCCCTAGGCTTTTTTTTTAAATCAGTGACCAACCATCTCTTTCGCTTTTTATGACAATAAATCTTTTGCACCCATTAATAGCACAGTAGTTTCTAATGCTTTCACACCACCCCTGCTAAAAGAGATAATTACACATTTACATTCAACCAAAACCTTTGCAGAGAATAAACATCTCCTTGACTTAATGCAATGGATGCCAAGAAGATCAGTTTTGTGGGTTTTTAGAAGCAGCAAAGTACTTTTACTTTCTTTCAACATACTGATTCACTGGTCATCTAATTCACAGCGATCACAGCTAGGACCATGCTTACCTTCCATCCCAGCAGAGAGTGGGAAAAGAGCTAGAATCATCCAGGGCTGTATATGGTACATCATATCCAGAGGATTCTGCAAACCTGTGATGAAAAAAAAGAAAGAGCAAACACGCTTGACTTTGAGTACAGAGAAGAACCCCAACATAATGATGGTCCTTCAGTCCAGGAAAGAGTAGTAAGAGACAGAAACAACTGAAGGAAAAAAAAAAGAAGAAATTTAAGACTTATCAGCCGGACCCTCCAACCACCCACCAAAACAATGTGACACTACAGAAAGTGATTAAGAAATAGTACACATACAACAAGTGGTAGGATGCTGCGACAATCTATTTGATGAAAGAACTCAATTGTCTATGCAAGCCCGGAAGACAGCTGTGCTTTCGTCCCAGCAGCAGATGACAATCTCAAACTGCCCCCTGCTGATGGGATTACACATCTGTTAAATCCCCTCACAGAGGAGAGGAAGACATGAAATAAAATGGGGACTAACGTACAGCTGTGACCAGGATAATAAAAACAATTACTATAAGAATTATAATAAATGGCATTTTTATAGTCTATATCCCCACTCAACAGCAAACTCTATGTGCTTTACACTCAAAAACATTCTCTGCTTCTCGGGAAGCTTAAAGTACAAAAAGGGATAAAACACTAACAAACTGACAAGATAACATCGAAAGGAATGCAGAGAGGAGAGATTGGAATGTTATAAGTTCTGCCGGGGCAATATAAATTATAAAGTGCAGAGAGCTTGACTTTAAGGAGGGACATTCATTTTAAAGATTCAATTTATTACTATTTACTATTATCATTATCATCACAACGTGTATCAGTACTATAATTATTATTATCATTACCATTGTTATAACCATGATTACTATTATTATCATTACTGTTATTTTTTTTTATCATCATCATCATTATTATTATTATTATTGTTATCATAATAATTACTTATTTACTATTATTATTTTTATCATCAATATTATTACTATTACTAATATCATAAGGCCTACTATTATCAGAAATGCCTGTGGTCTCACCCAAATCTTTCTTCTGCAGCACAATTTGAGCCAGCGTCCAGCGCAGGCCGGACAGCACCGAGGCCATCATGACCAGGATGAAGCCCTCCAGGTTGAACTGCGTCGAGTGGAAGGTGAACAGGAACAGGCCGGAGAAGATGCACAGCACCACCAGGATCAGACTCCAGCGCTGGGGACCACATGGAAGGAACGACTCTTGAGTTTGAGTATGTGTTTAACGCCTCTATCAACACTATTAGGTCATTGAAGAGGCGGGGCCTCCTAGTTCAACGTCCATCTCCGAAAGGACTGAGCCAAATGGGAATTTTGTGTAAAGTGCCTTTCCCATGGAGAAAACGTCGGATTGAGCTGAGGCTCAAACCCCCGAACCCACAACCTCACGATTATGAGTCCGATACCTTAGCCACTAGGCTACTGACACCACCTTAAATAAAGAGAAGCACGATGACTCAAAAACGGTCATATGGTGCAGGAAAGAAGCAAAACAGACAGATAGTTACAACAGAGGGAAAGAAAAGAAATAGTACTTATTAGTGGCACCCTCCAATGGACTCTGACATAGCATAAATTTATTCTATTTTAGTTAGAGTCTTGTGCCGCTTGCAATACAGATAAGTCATATACGTGAAATGGTGTTACTAGAGAGTAATAAACAAAGAACAGAAGGAGGAGAGATCGGGACAATAGATGTTTGATGAAAAGAAGGACCTGAGCAAACTACATTAAAACAACCGCCAAACTCCCAAATACAGACTTGTTTAAGCAAACAAATTCATCTCAACACAATATCTGTCATTTAATGCTGCGGAAAGAGCAAGGCAAGTAGACAGAAACATGTGGGACAGTAAAGAAGTTATAGGACCTACCGGTGGCATCCTCCAGCCACCCATTGACAAAGAGAGCCTTAGATTAGAAAGAGTTTAACACCAGTTGCAACACAAATAAGTCAAATAAGTGCCAAAGATTAGAAGTGTTCCAAGAGAGTACCATACAAAGAATAGAAGAAATGGAGACAAAGGCAATAGATGTTTGATAGGAAGGAAGGCACCCGGAGTCAATGCCTGAGGAGACAGATGATATAACAAAGTGGAAAAAAGTTACCCTTACCTTGCACACATAGCTACTAACATTTTCAGCAAACCATAGAAGTGATAACAGACCTAAACTGGTTATGGAGTCAGCATTATGGGGCCGATATAAATTGACGTAACAAAATGGACAATATCTGTCCTTTTCCTGCTCTCAAAGCATCAACCATAATTTCACCCTTTTCTTGCATGCACTAGCCTAATTAGTTGCACCCCCCCCAAAATCGTGACAGGTAAAAAAATTTTTTTTTAATAATCACTGCATAAACACTATTGTTTGTTATGACAGCAGGTAGGCCTACTTACAAATTTTTCCAGCCTGAGTACCAGAGAGAAAATCAGTATGAATATCACTGAAGTTGTCTTGGACATAACATACCTGTAATATAAGAAGACAAAATAGAAAGTTACACAACTGGACTAGTAAATGTAGTCTTCTTTTCATTGAGCACAAATCATCACATAACTTTTATTTACATTTTGTCCAATCACAGCCAGGGGTCTGCCACAAACTTAAAACGCATTTTGTCTGTGTTTAGTGCCATATAAAAGATAAAAAGATTAACTTTATATCTAACAAAAAAAAGCTATTTTTAATTGAGACAAATGACACCCCCACCCCCAATCCCAACAACTATTCTGAAAGGAAATGAAACCGGAAAGAGAAGAAATAATTTCTATTAATAAAAATAATAATAATAATGATAATACAGATAATTCCATAGCACCCACTCCTATACAAATCAATACTCTCTAGGTGCTTTACAATACTTCCATTTCAACACAAAACACAAGGGAATGAACATGCATAATGAGCTCTTTAGATTAACACTAACACATTAGCAAATGTTCGTACTATCACAGCACAATCAATGATATGTATTTTACTCTATGAACAATGACTAACTATCCAGATGGCCCTTTGGCTTACTTGGTATACCCGTAGAACCTTTAGGCCTTCCTCTTAAGCTATTAATTGAATTTTTAATTTTTGCCTCCAACTTTGTATCCCTCAAATGTTGCAGGAGAGTTCCAGACAGATGGAGCTGGATAACAAAATGACCTCCCAAAGAGTTATTGACTCTCGGCCTGGTATTTGAATAAGTAAAACCTCCATCATAAATAAACCTGAAATGTCTTTAACTGCACTCAAAATGTATATTAGCTGTTTAAAATAAAGGCATTCAAAATCAGTGGAGAAAATCTCTGTTCCCTTCTGTAGGATGCACAATATAAACTTTTTTTAAATGTTGTATTAAATAGGACTATAAAGCTAAGTTCTGGATAATTTCCCTATTGCTGTCACCTATAGGTCTATTCTAACTTAAGCCTAGCCTTCACTTAACAAATCAAATCAATACCAATGCATAAAACCATAAGAATCATTTTCAGGCATCTTCTCTTCTTATACTTCAAATACTCACAAGGATATTGTTATAAACTCAAAACTCCAGTTTGAGAAGCCAATGTCAAGGGAACCCACAATGCCTGAGGAGGGAAAATGTATTACAAAATCAGAAAAGCAATTTATCATTGAAAAAGAAATAATAATATTAACAATGATACACAAGCTTTAAATTTTTTAGAAACAGTTCAGCATCAAGATCAGCAAAATGATGTTGTTTTACAAAACATTTTACAGCACTTGCAATATGATTAGGTCATATAAGTAGCAAATATTAGAGGAGTTACAACAAGAGAGTAACGAAACCAATTAAGAAGGAGGCGAGATAAAAACGACAGATGTTTGATAGGAAGGAAGGAGCAGGATACACCAGGACACCTGCCAACAATTCACCAGCAAAATGAATATGGTTCAAATGTTGTTTAACAGCACAGCCCAACTGCAATTGGACTCATGCACACTCATCACAGTCAACAACTCTACACTGTGTCAAAAGTTGTTTTTTCTTCCAATTCAACAAACATAAATTATAAATGGAAATGCAAGGCAAGAAAAGTTGTCAACAAGACAAGACATTACAAGATTCCTAACGCCACTATTCAGGAAATAGTAGAAACCGAGGATATCTCTATCATCATATCAATAATAATAATAATAATAATAATAATAGATAGCATTTGTATAGCGCATATCCCCGCTCAGCAGCAGGCTCTATGCGCTTTACACTATATTATTACCCCAGCAGACCATAGAACACTCCAAGCGCTCAAACACTAACAAACTGACAAGATCTTTCGCTGTCTATAGCCGGGTACCCATTCCCACCTGGGTGAAGTGAGGAAAAATCGTGTAAAGTGCCTTTTCCAAGGACACAACGTCGGGCCCCTGGCGGGATTCGAACCCACAACCTTACGGTTGCGAGTCCGAGAGCCTAACATAACAAACATTAATGTTGGGTTTTGTGCACCGAAACAATTCATAAGCCTGTAACCCAGCCAAAATGTGTACGAAAACAAAACACAATGACTACAAGGCCAGGGAATGGCCAAGAAAGACATACCTCACTGGAGTCAAAGTAAGCTTAGCTTCATATGAGATCCCAAAAGATTAAATGTTCAGACCTAGTAAGAGTAGATAAAACACCCTTATCATCCCACTACAGTTCTACTGGAATAAACAATACAGACTAAAGAGAGACAACAAATGTCTGGTAGTGTACGGAATTTCAACAAATACAAGACAGGAATGGAACCTATGCAAGAGAAGAACATTTACTGTACTACTCTACCTACCTGCAGCAGCCACTCGTTTGCAGTATGTCTTCCAGTCAAGCATCACCCGTGGCTCTTTGTTCTTACACTCTAGTAATAGGCGGATGATGCTCGAGGCCACAAACTTGAACACAAAGTGACACAATGTGATGGACAGTGTCACGGAGCTATTCTGTGGAGGCAACAACAGAACATTTGAAAAGTTCAATATTTCCATTTCCCAGGATGAGCTTTGCACTACAATAAAATTGAAAAACAAAGACAAAAGAAAAAATATCAATAATTATTTATTTTAACAACTTAACCAGTTTTAGCGTGACTAAAAGAAAACAAAGCAAAGTCCGTTCTAGAAATAAAAATTAACGTGTCAAAGTTGGAGATGTTAAATTGTAAATTCGTGTCATGCACAAATGAATAGTCTATGGACATATATACTCGTACAAGATGCATACTCCTTCATTCGGCCTCTGTCATGACATTGTGACTAAACTTAAAACAAAGGTTGAAATTTTGAACTTTTTCAGCTTCGTATCAAATCAATGCTGAATAAGATATAATATTCATCGTAATGAATGTCATGATGCGGTGGAATCAGGTGCTCGTCAATTTTGGGGCATATGTAGTTATTGGTATCAGCTTAAGGCTTTTTCATTTGTCTATCTTTGGATGAAAAAGTATCCAGCTATCTTGAATAGCAGTCAAGATATTTGCGATTGAAGGTGGTGCAGGGTTGCCTGGTTTCAAAGGTAAAATTAGCAAGAAAATGGCCACCAAAGCTAAGTGATCTCCAAAGCCACAGAGTGATGGACACCACAAATGTACAAATTTTTTGCCATTGATCAACCTGTTTAACACTTCCAGTACCATCAGTGACTTACATCGTCAGGCTGTGTTATGCGCTCACTAACGCTGGCTCGCCGATGCAACCAGGTACACTAAACATAATTGAACAATGAATGGACGCACTGCACAGAAGTAAATACCAAAGGAAGTCACTCTATATATGATAGCTGAATGGTTCATGAACCTCTTTTAATTTTTAAAGCATGTTTCTTGGGCTGTCAAGGTTTTTTTTATTTTAAAAAATTCTACCACGGCTTCAGCGTTCTAAACTGGTACAGTACTTGATGGTTTTTCACCATATGAGCCTTCAGTATTGTAAGTGTTAAGTAAAATCCACACAGAAATGTATTTTTAAATGGACATATAAGATGTTGAACCCAAATAAAAAGATAAGATTAAAACTTGCCAAACTGGCAGAAAAATGCTCTTTTACTCAATTTCATTATTTTGACAAGCGCCTGATTTCACCATGATGTCTCACATATTACTAAGACTCTGGGAGTGCCTGAGAGTGTGAGACTCGTTCTTCGATCAAGTCAACTAATTAACCATAATACCCCTATAAATCAACAAACCTTGAATAAATACCGGTTGTAGAATGTAAGTCCAATTGAGAATATGTACATAAACAAAATAAGCGCCAAAGTCACTAGCATTTCTTGCAAGTACTTCATTGAACACATGGAAGTCTTCACCCTCTCCTCTTGTTTGGCGACCATAGCCTTGAATTCCCGTAGATCACGGTGGTGGGCTTTCACTTTTTTCCCCATCTTGATTTTAAGATGGCATTAAACACTGGGGAAAAAAAAAAAGAAAATTCAGTTAAAAAAGTAAGGATGTGAAAGAGAGTTATTTTTTAGGTAAGCAGGCATTAGATGACCATTTCACAGTACACTGGTAATGGTTTAAACCTTTTCTCTTCTATCTCACTTCTACTAACAAGAATCCAGTCATTTTAAACTTTCATTTTTCATATTTTTGCGTGGAAAAAAGGAAAAAAAACTTTTTAAAAAAAATTACGATACACCTACACAAAATTCACCCATTACTCTCACGGCGTCACTTTTCGCCTGATTCTGTTACTTTTAGTTCGCATGACTGAGCAGCCCGCCGGAGCTCCCCGGGTCGGGATCACGGGGTTAATGAGCCCTGAAGCGACATTGCCGGTGTCGGTCAGGAAGTTCACATTTTTGACTACGTTTAAAACGATATAACTTCTTCCCCATCCCACATAGCAAACCATTACGCGGATGTACTAAAAGCTCAATGTCTTGAGACTTATTCTGCGTTAGAATGGTTAGTTTCTGTGCCTTAGTTTTTGTTCTAGACAAGTGTTTGTAGAGTACCCAATTTGTCCTATTTTAGTTACAAATTTTTATGAATAAATGATTGTTAATTTTAAAAAGGCTTGACAGATCTCTCCAAAACCTGTGTTAAACTGACTACAAATATCATGTCTTTTACCATGAGAAATCTTAAATCTGCGCAAGTAGTAATAGTCAAGTTATAAGAGAAGAAAGATGCACATCTGCATTTTTTAACTAAAGACGATCAGCGTTAGCTCTTATTTTACTATTAAACAAGAGAAAGTTACTCTGCGTTTGTTCATGAATCATGCTGTGTCTGTGGCAGCCTGCATACAACTAAAAAGATATAATAAGCGATTAAAAAAACCACAAAACCGTGTAAATACATGGGTAGAGATAAACTTCTTGTATGGAATAAAAATAATGACAGCTAAAACATTCATTCTTAGTTTTTGTGTAGGAAATATGCGCGGACACAATTATGAATGTAAAGAAATCAGTCACATTGTCAGTTATTGCAAATGGTCATAGAAACGGAAAAAAAAAGCTGGAAAAGTCTGGTGCTGATTCAGTGTCCCTGGAAAGCTAGAAATTATTCTTATAACCCAATTACGAGAAGTCATCCCTATTATTCAGTCTAATTACAAAACCTAGACTTAGCGTTTTAAGAAAAGTAAGGAATTTCTGGAGTGTTACAGATACTGTTCGTGTATTAGATCTACGTTGAAGATGTATTCTAGCACTAAAATCAATTGTACTTTTCATAGACAAACTTCATGGTAACTTTTGTAAACTTTCGAGAAAATTGCGAATATTCACAATTATATTAGACACATAAAGTTGTATTTGGAGGAATTACTTCATAGCGAATTGTGTGCTCGATGGATAAAATTGTAAAATTACAGCCTTCTATTATATGCGCAGATACCATCTTTTCTGAGTATCTGCACCAATGTTCATGTTCCAAAAGTTCGACAGATTTTGACGATGCCTTTTCTTAATTTGATTTTTTTTCATTCACCCTAGTCAAAAAAAAATTACAATTCAGCATTGCTGACTCCAGCGCGTCTAACGAAATAACCAGACAAGTTACAACGTCCGTTCTTTTTTGAGTCTCAAGAGCAGAAATGCGTGCTTTGGGTGCACTTGATGAGAATTACCATAAATACAAGGATACACCTTAAATTGTATATTGAAAAGTACCAAAAATTAGGTCAGCCCAGAATGAGCGGCGACAGGGAGCTGACCCTGTGACCCCGACGTGATAAGGCGCCCGGCGGGGAACCCCCCGCGGCAACTAAAATTCCACTGCCGGTGCGCCGTGCTCTCAACAATAAAAAATTTTGATTGTGCCTCAACTTCTTAACACCACACTGCCTTTATTGCAGGTTGGCAGACAGAAACTGTTAAAAGTACTCTTTTTTCAAGAGTTATATATAGGCCTACGGATCATTACTAATTAGCCAGCCAGGCATGTGATATCATATCATGAGGTGTAAATAGTGTAAGGAAGCAGAGGAAGTGGCAGCTGTGTTGGAAATAAATTCAGAATCAGGTTTCTTCCTACACAATCTCGACAATTACACGTTGAGGCAAACAGATGAGAGGGTTTTAAACTACTAACAGATGCAGTCAGCTCGAGAGAGTAACGTACTATTCTCTAAGTGAGCAGGTGAATATTATGGACCAGCTCTAGCAGACAAGATACTCGACCCGAGGTTAGGCCTATCGTCTATTATTGTTAACAGTTGCAAACCAAAAGTAGTGTCACAGGGAGTGACAGGCTGGTGATGTTGCACTGTGTATGGTACCTTTCACTGCATGTGTTCACACTGTGTGCATTCTAATTTCTCACAAAGGCGTAGTTTTAAAAATTCTGAAAAGCCTTGCAAAAAAAGTAGTCGCCACAAACTGGCACTCATCTACTGTGGAACTCAGATTCAACGAGCTCGGATTCAACAAGAACTTGGACTCAATTAAAGGAGATGGATTCCCCTTCTTTTTCTTCAATAAAAATAAACTGGATTCAACGAACACTTAATTCAGCAAGCTTGGATTCATTGAGGTCGCTTCCAGGGTGAACAGTCCCCCGCAGACGTGGCTTCTCTCATTTTTCTCCCACAATGAGCTTTATCTCTTCCCGGAAACCACAAATTGCACCTGATTCGTGAATCATTATTCTCTTTGTGCCTGGCCGATTGCATGCGACCAATCAGCGGCTTTCTTTCAACACATATGTTGTTGGCACGTCAGATGGGTGGCCTGAACACGTGTGACTGTGTGTGTGTCTGGGGGGGAGGGGGGGGCGGCGGCACCATTGGTCCGGGCATGGAACGTCGCAGATACAAATGCGTCACAGTCTTTCCCCCCCCCAGCAGAGTTAGAAAAGCAGTCAGAGTGTTGAGCCGCTGCATCTACAGAGTAAACTGAGCTGTTGGCTAATACACTCTTGCTCTTAGTCTTAACGGTAGGCCTATTAAATAATATAATTTAATTCGCAGTGGCTACGTTCACGGCGCCGTGAACTTAGATTTGCAGGCTACATTCACGGCGCCCTGAATGCAGTTTACAGGCGCTGTTGAGGCTACATTCACGGCACTAAAGCTTTGTTTAGGGGGAGCGTCCACTGCCTGTTTATATCTGCCGGTTTTAGTCAGTGATGTATATATATATATATATATATTTAATATTTTGGCCAGCTTCAAGTGTTCCGTCCCATGAGATAAGGAAAATGAAGCGCCCTTACAGAATTAAAGTTGGGATATGGGATATGGAAAATTGGATACGGTACATGGGAAAAAAGAGGTGAGAGATGGGAAACAGAAGGTGGGATTCGGAAGATGGGACTGGTCATAAAATGTGTACAAGTAATGACTATATTGCACAGGATCACCCTGTGAACCGATGCAGAGAGAAAATGACGGGAATCAATTATCCTTATTACAAACACCCTCTCTCTCTCTCTCTCTCTCTCTGTCTCCCTCTCTCTTTCCACTTTCTCTTTTCTTCTCTCTCCTCCCCCCCCCCCCTTCCTCTCTCTATTTTTCTCTGTCTCTGTCTGTCTGTCTGTCTCTCCCTCCCTCTTTCTCCCCCCTCCCCTTCTCTTCTCTCTCTTTCTCTCTCCCCTCCTACCTTCTCTCTCTCTTTTTCTCTCTCTCTCTCTCTCTCTCTCTCTCTCTCTCTCTCACACACACACACACACACACACACACACACTGCCGGAAGACAAAATTGATCACTTTCAACTCGAGAGCGCTGAAACTCGTATCACAGGCCGTCCCGCGCTGACACAAGGTCGCACCCAAGTCTCATCCGGATGCGAAATAGGGCAATTGAAACATCCTGGTAGGCTTATAATGCCTTTTTATCATATATCCTATGCGTTGTAGCATAATTGAGAGTTCATCATTTTCCCTTACACTGGCGAGCTCTGGCCAGAGCTCAGTGTAAAAGGGAAAATGACCAATGGTCCATCGGTCAAGGAGCACTGCTTCGTTTTCCTTCATCTCATGGGAAGGAACACTTGAAGCTGGCAAAAATATTGGAGCTTTTTCGGTAGTACTTCGTTCGGCACTCTTTGAAAATTGCCTTCTCATTCCAATTGATAATTTGCCATGCAAGCGTGAAGATTGTGTTGGTTTTTTAAAATTATTATATTTGCCAAGGAGGCAAGCCCCCCTCAAACTCAAACCCCCCACTGTTAAGGCTAGTGCGCATTAATACGTGTAAACACTGTGGGTCCACCAAAGTTCAATGCAGCCAAAATAAATTTTTTATACAAAAAAAGTAGAATAATATTACTGGCTAAAAAAATGTGGTAGGGTTCACTTAGCCTAGATTCTATAGATCTATGGCCACTTTTGTCCCCTTGCCCTTAGCAATCACTTCTGTTTCTTATTTAATGTAAACAAACGGGAAGATTCTAGAATCTAGATTCTAGATATCTATATTAGATCTAGATCTAGATATCAAGATCTAGATCTAGAGAGATCTACTAGACAAGCAAGAAACATTATCATTACCATGATTTATTAAATGATGTTACCTACCCCAACACTCGAGCCTAGATTACAGAAAGTTACCGTTACTGACAGTGACGGAAAAGCCTAAATTTTCTTAGATCTAGATTCTAGATCTAGATCTAGAATTCCTCTTCATATTTTGATCTATGAAAATGCCAGTAAATGCAACATCATTTCGTTCAACAACGAGCACAGCTGCTTCTGTTTGGTACATGCCAGTACTCATTAGCTTAGCCTACTGCTACACTTGTTTTACAGTTTTTCACATGATTCGTAAATGACTTGACGTGGAGGTTCGATAATGAGACAGCTGGCAGTCGAAGCTTTTGAAAAGCTTATACCGGGTATTACAAGAGTTATTTCCCGTTGGCTGTTTCGCATCTTTCTTTCAGTTGTCGCTGTGATCCTTTTTTTCAGAAGCATTCTGAAATTTAAAAAATAATGATAATTGTATTAGTCCAACATCTAAATTTATAGGAAAATTAGAATTGCATATTCATGCTGCGTTTATTCAGCTAATATTAAAGTACCAAAATGGAAATAAAGGAGAAAAATGTGTTGCTGGTGCCCTCCGCCAACCACCCCCCCCCCCCGCCCCTTTTCCCCCACGTTCTATCTAGGCCTATACGTGATGTCTCAAAAAAGAGGCTGTAACCCTCGGAAAACATAGAAGGTAATACATGTAGTGATCAAGAAAGCCTGTTTCGAGCCATCAATGCCATTCTGGAATTGACATACAGTAGAATGTTGTTCACCGTTGAGACGATGAAAAACAATACAGTCACTTTATTTGAGTCACCCTGGGGCCGATTTACACCGGAAAGTTCTGTCTCAGCGGGGACAGGGGTGGTCGCAGAAGTTAAAGATCTGTTGACACAATAGATGTACACTAAAAAGGAGATAACTCTATGGTTGACACTGGTCTTCCGAGCCATTCTGCGCTGGTTTAGCTTGGTAAGAGTTTTACGGCGCTCGCAACTGTATAATAGGGTCACATGAGCGCAGCTCAGCTACAGCAATTCTGTAACGTTCACATAATATCAATTCTGTTGCGTTCACATATATAGGCCTAGATCTATACTAAATCTCTGCACCCTTGCAGACAACGGACCCCCCCCCCCCCCCCAACTCTGTCCTTTGCAATTTATCGCTATGTTGTGGGATTGATGTTGATCGAGGGCCTTCAGGTAAGCTTTGATGCTGCCTTAATTGAGACATTTCTTCTGGCCTCCACGTGAGGGTTTGCCATACTGACCTCCCAGCTAAAGTATATCTGCATTAGGATGGTAAAGATGCTAGACAGGCCTGCACACGTGAGTTTTTCAGTGTCCTGAATCTTATCTCACCACATAATTAGGCCCACGGGTCTTCTGAGAAAATGCCGAAATGGTTCCGTTTTCAGGCGAGATGCTGCAAATCGCCCATGTTTTCAGCCGTGGGAGAGAGAGAGAGAGTGAAAACTATAGCCCAATACAAATGCACACCTTGATCTTGGTGACTAGCACTTTAATCTTTTTCGTATTCATTGTTACACGGAAGTTGTGACAGAACAGCAGGGAACTTGTCTACAATGTGTTGCATTTTGGCGTCTCAAACAGAGTTGACCAGGGCTTCCAGTGCTGAGAGAGTGGGACTGCCCTCGTGCAACGACTTTTCTACTTAAAAAAAAAGAAACTTCCCCGTACAGATTTTCTTCGTATGTGTTGGTCCCAATAACCCCATAAGCCCCTTGGATAATACTGAGGACACATTCATTCTCGGAGAGTGGGTAATTGATATTGTCCGTTAAAATTATTAATCAGAATCTTGTTTTGGCTTGAAAGCCTCATAAGGTTGAAGCCTGATCCGTGTATGTGGCATTTGTTACTGATGCCAACCTACCTCACTGAATGTGTTAGTCAGAATAGCCTAGAAATTAAAACTGAACAGGGTGGGAGTAAGAACACATTTCTACTTCACTCCCTTTGAGGCTGGAATGGTTCAGATGTCTCGTCATTGTCTTGGACTCTGGCCAGCATACCGTCGTGGAACTGATGTATAATGACAATGAACTTTCTGGGGCATCCCAAAGAGATTATAACCTACTTGGTAATGGAGTTAATGGCAGTGACGTCACCTTCGTAAACGAAGTGGGGACTGAGTGTTGAGGGCAAGCGAGACTCATGTGAAGACGCACTACGATCTAAAGAGAAAATCTCCATATTTGCACTGAAATGTGTGTGTGTGGGGGGTAGGGGCCAAGGACCGTATAATTACAATTATTGTATAACCTCCTTGGTCGAGGCTCAGGTTGTTCATGTAAATGGGGGGGGGGGGGGGGGTCGCCGGCCATGCCTCCCGTTGAGGGTAAGAAATCCCCCATGCCAGACACGTTTGGAGTCAGTGCCGCGAGGAGATCTAGTATTATACAGTATAACCTCTTTGTGGGCATCCACACTCCACCATGATTAACCGACGCCCTTCTCCACTGACAGTGTCAAAGCACTTCTATCCTTTCAAATACAGAAAAATAGATTCATCCATCCATAATTTTGTTTCAGACCAGAATTATGGAAAAAATCACGGGGAAGTAGGCCTAAGCAGAAAATCATCTTTATTATGGGGCATGAACATTATCTTTTAGGACTGAATGTCCGGGGTAAAAAAATACTTCTCAGCTCGAAACTCGTATTTTAAAAATAAATAAGGCCTATTTTTCCATGCTTTTTTAAATGTGGAACCGAATTTAGCTCTAAACAGTCTTGCTGTCTTGTGTCCTTGGCCCCTGGTTAACAATACAGTTCATATTGTATATCATTCACAGTCGAAAACACCCATTTTTCATCCGCCATCTCTCCATCAAACTGATATCTAGCGCACGTGCAGTACTTTTCGCATGCTTCGCTTGGCATTAAGCCACAGCGTCAGGTCGCAAGGGCGAAAGGACAATACTTTTGGGAGCACATTCTCATCTCATTTCTCTCATTTCTCATCTCTCATTTCATCGTCTGCTCACAACCAACTGTAACGTTATCCTGCCTCATCCAAGGACGTGTGTCTTCGTGTCATGAAGGAGACGCTGTGCTTTGTTGAACGCGCACACACGCACGCATGCATCCACCACATGCGCACACAATCACACACTCTCTCACACACGCTTTCTCTCTCACACACATTCATACACGAACGTGCGTCCATCTTGTCCAATGACCTATCATCCCGCCACCCGTCCGTGTTTGCCAACGGCACGTGCAAGTGTCATCAGCAGACGATAAAATCGGACAGATGATATGACGGTGTGGGCAAAGGCCATGATTAAGGTTACGTGGGATCGCATGTCCACTGTGAGTTAGCCTTGAACCTCGTGCCTTGGCCATCCAACTCCAGCTCCAGAGTGAGGAGCGCATTTATTTGTGCGGTAGCGAAGAGAGGGGATGATCATGTATGTATAGGTTAGAGTTGTTGTGCGGGAATAAGACGAAAAAATGATGTATAATGACAATGAACTTTCTGGGGCATCCCAAAGAGATTATAACCTACTTGGTAATGGAGTTAATGGCAGTGACGTCACCTTCGTAAACGAAGTGGGGACTGAGTGTTGAGGGCAAGCGAGACTCATGTGAAGACGCACTACGATCTAAAGAGAAAATCTCCATATTTGCACTGAAATGTGTGTGTGTGGGGGGTAGGGGCCAAGGACCGTATAATTACAA